TTGCAACTATATACTTGGTCTCACCTTTGACTTGTGTCTTAGATATTAGGTCTAGATCAGAGAGTCACCTAAAGATCTTTTGGTTTTCCTTTATGGACAAGATCCAAGATGCAGCTTTTTCTAACCACACACATGTGAAACCTTGCAAGATAAGGGAAGTCTGGCCTGCAACTCCATTACATATCACTTTTGGATGCAATTTTCCCCTCTTCAGAATGACTGACAGCATCTCCTCCTCCAGGAAATTGTCTCATTTAGACACTACCCTCTTCTATATTGCTGCTCCAAGGTCCTCTGTATCCCCATCAGTGCAGAGTGCACGGACTGGGGGGGTGTGGGTGGCAGGGGGGAGAGGGTGTGTTGGGGGGGGTGTCCCCTCCCAAACTTGTTAACCAAGTTTGGTTAACACTATCTATTCATTTACATTTTACACACCTTCTCCCAGGTTTTCTGTTTCAAGTAGGACAAACTACCAATACACATCAATAATGCTTCCTTATTTTTTCCTCAAAACTTAGAGGCACTAACAATAAAAATCTGACCATTGTTTGGGGACTGGTATTTTAAGAATACCAATTTGTCATGCTGACAAATACCTTCTTCCTTTGCTACCTATTTTAAACTTAGTTTACAAGTCTGGAGCCTTTGCATTCTAAAAACATCTACCATGACAGAATCCTAGCATGTAATTAAGGTTTCTACGTATTTTAAAAAAGCAAAATATGAAGAATAACCCAGGATGGTGCCACACAATAGAGTTCTTATTGCCAGAGTTTAGTAATTTAGACTTGGGGTTTGCAAGTTTATGTTAAAAGTGAGGACATAGCATCTAGTGCTCACTAGATCTCATTTTATTTAATTTAAAAGAACTAGGCAATTTACCCTCCCTCAGCACATAATGCAGATCATTGGCTGAGGAGGATCTAAAGTAATGCTACAGCTGCTAAGCTCTTCCTTTGCACTAAGTTCTGCATTCATTTCTGCTCTAGTCTGTATTTCTATTTTATAATGAAACATACAGCCTAGTTATTTATAGGCTTTCTAAGGATTAACTACACACTCATAAGAATAAACCCTCAAGAGGTTAACCTCATCCTCTTAAGCTTCACACACTACAATCCCAGAGATAGCTGGCAACCACAGCCAAGAGAGAAAAAATAATCCCACATCTTGCTAATCCTTTAGCCAATCACCTCACGCAACAGTGGAGAGGCCTCTCGGAGGCCTACAACACAATCTGTCTCAAGAGTACTGTCAATCCAAAAGATACATATTTCACAGAACCATTAGCAACTAGCCTCAAAAGGCAAAATAAGACATACCTGGCTACTCAGTGGTACACTGAAATCATGCATCTAAAATGAAATGCTAAAAAAGATTCCAGTTTGCTGCTTGTATTTCCCATTCAGATATTTGCATATTCTACTCATAAAACTACCTACTTTATTAATTTGAAAGTAAATCTAACAAATTTTGCATTGTTTACATCTAGATAGATCAATTTAACTGTCCCTTACACTTCCATGCGTGAACTTTGAGTACCTTTGATTTTCCAGCCAGATCATATCTCTGAAAAAAAAAAAAACCAAAAACAAACCACCCACAAAACCAAACCAAAAAATCTTCAAGTTAAACCATGATAATCTACCTAATTCTTTCATATCATGATCTGGATTCCTCCTTAATCCCCAACATGAACACTGCCTGCAGCTGCAGCAGTGCCAAGGAGTTAACAGGTGCACTTACCTTTTAAGTCAAAGGTTTCTGTTTTGTTTATTACTTATCTAGCAAAAGTGCTACTTCATTCAATGTTAATATAAAACATTAAACGGTGCCATTTAAAAAAATTAGCAAGGAGGTTGTTTAGCCACACTGCTGCACCGTGGCTGGAAGTTAAAGCCTTCAAGAACATGCAGGTAAAGTATAAGGTCAGAGGGATGACTGTTAATAACCAAATATCATCCACAGTTCTTTCCTGAAGTAAGGATTTTTAATCAACATGAGGATTAGCACTGCTTACAAGCTCACTGAGTCCAACCATATTACTTTTTTTTTTTTTAATGTGTCAATTCACTCATTCTCTTTTGTACGTGCTTAATATACTCCTATTCCAAAGCCTGGCATTTGACTTTGTAGGTAAATTCTCTGAAAAATCCCAGGCCCATGAGACTACAAGTCGCTACCCTCAGAGTCTGTCCTCTAATAGGCTTCCACCATTTAACTGGAAATAAAAAAGTATAAAACAAAGATAGTTAAAAATCATCTTTATTTCAAAAAGTTATTCCCACTAATTAAAGGCTTTATTCCCCTTCCAGAATTCAGATAAGGCCCAGCAGCAACAGGAATTGCTCTAACTCAGTTGGGAAACTCTTGAATCATCTCGTGTCCAGAAACAACGGCCCGTAAAGAGAGAAGGGAAGGAGGGGAAAAAAGTCAAACCCTGACAAAAATGCAGACTTTATCTAATCAAGAAAAACTATACAAGTGAACATCAGCTAGGAAAATTAAACTTTCCTCCTATCCTCAAAATTTATTGTACGTAAGTATCCTCAGTAGTATGACGCCAGAGGCTACTTGATTGCATCTTCTACTGTTACAGATTGCTCCAGCCTATTTGCATTCTGAAAAGAAGTTTCATGATCTTTCATGCTCATAATAGATGTCTAAGCCGTTAAATTACTATTTCTTTTCTTATCTTGAAAGACACTGCACTCCAACAGCATGGCCCTTCCATTGTTCTTTACACTAAGTCGGGTCCCTGAACAATACTGACAGCTGCTATCAAACTGGGCTCTGCTCACTCTCGGTGCAGCTGCCGCTCGTAGGAACAGACAGGCTTCTGATGTGTCCTCCCCCTCTGGGGAGAGGGCTTGACACGCTGCGTGCTCAGTGAGGGGAAGCAAAGGTCCACTGAATTGTCAACCCAATTTTATGCTATTCAGATTTTCCAGGATGCACACCGTCCCTTTCAAACAAAATCAAGCATATGTCAGAGCATGAAACTTATTGTGCAGCACAAGATAATTATTGATCATGTAAGACACTAAAAGATTACTGTGACATACATCTAATTTTAGCATTATGTATATGCATGCATCTACACGATCAAAGAAATTTTGTGCCCAACGTGTTCATTTCCTCATTCAGTTTTGGATTTGTATGGCATCATTCAGAAGTCTTTCAGAAGACACAGAAAAGCATCTCTTTTGGTGAATCTTAGATAATTTAAAAACAAAAAAGGGGGAGGTTTCTATCCCTGCTTCCAAAGAGCTTCCCCCCCAAAAAAAAACGTTCTTAATTGCATGTGATGCTTGCAGCTCCTATTGTTTTTAAAAGACTATATTGTGTAGACTTTAAAAAGAGGTACATGACATGCTTGAGATAACAAAATTTGGTTTGGCTAAGTAGCACTATCTTAAGTCCAGCAAGAATGTTTTAAAATATATTTCAATACATATTTCCATTTACTGCATAAAATATTCTTTAAAACCAGTTCATTAAAAAGGGTTTTCCATTCCATTTTCATCCTAAAGAAGTAATTCATTTTAAAAAATGCAAGAAAGTACAGTTCTCTAATCTTTGCTAATCAAATATCACAAATGTACATGTGCTGTATTTCAAAGATCAAATCAAGTATTCATAAAGTAATTCATTACACAAGCAAAGCATAGAGGAGATTGTGACAAATACAGATGTAATTGTGTGGGTTTCTAAGATGTGATTAGTAAATCAACTAAGTAACAGTCAAAATTTGATACGAAGGGAAAAAACAGTGCAGATTTGAAGGGGGGGGTATGTTTATGCAAAGCTAATCTGTCAAGTGTAATAAAGCAGCTTGAATAAAATTTAAGCTGAAAATCCACTGAAGCTCCCCATTTCAGGGAGGAAAAGCTATTAAAGGGAAATGAAGGTCACCCTCCCAGTTTATTTCACCTAATTGACTGCCAATAGCTTACCACAGGCAAACCGACTGCAGATCTGCAATTGAGAAACTGATGAAAGGAGAGTTTTCAAGCTGAGGCTCATTCTTTTAATCCTCCCTCACTCCTATTTTTTTTTCCCATCTCCAGTTGGGATGTAATTTTAAGCACAGATGGATTAACTGGTTCCATTGTCTGTAGACGTCATTGGACTATGGCACTGTTAATCCGTACAGCAGCATGTCTAATTATCATTACAAAGTGTCTGAGGGAACTATAAAGACCAGCAGGGCATCTTCTCACAAGCAATTAACATAAATTGATAAATGAGTAATTTGAATCCGCTCAAGGCGCTCACATATGAATAAAATCAGAAAGGACGGGTTCTTGTTTCAGCTACTTCTTTCACTCGGTCTGGAAGGGCAGAAAACATGAGAAATATTCTAGACTTAGTGGCGGGGGAAATGAACTCATGCAGTGGAAGGAATGTATGGTTCAGAAAGTTCATTAATACAAAGCAAATGACTTGTGATTGACAGCCAGTCACAAGCAAGTAGTATTAACTTATTTCAGCATATTTAGAAGCACATACTTGGTGAAAGGCTATTGGAACACTGTGTCAGACAATTAATACTACTTCAAAAGCAAGTGAAGTTTCTTTTCAGTAGCTTGCTAATTTAAAATTCATGAAAGATCCACAGGAAAGGGAAAGAAAGAAGAATGAATAGTTGTACAGGCTCCAAGAACTCAAGTGTCACAAAAAGCATGAGGCAAAGGTAACTAGATCAACTGACATACAATACCTACAAATAAACAAGCAACTCTCCTAAACATCATATTTCTTGCATGAAAAGCTCTATTACGCAGAGCATTGCTGCACAAAATGATGTTCTGACAAAGTAAACTATTAACTTTATCCCTGCTAAAATCTTTGTGAAGCAAGGCAAACACTTCATCAACATTGGGCATCAAAACAGTGTTAGATATCAAAACATTAAGTTTATTTTAAAAGTAGCAAAGCAGTAAGATATGAAAGCAAGTTATACACACTGTAGGAGGTAGACCTGGAAGGCCACGTACCCCGATGATGGCATTCAGTTCAGCCATGGTCACTTGTTTGGCACGTTCTACAGCTTGGGCCACTTGCTGCTGATGCTATTAAAAGAAGAAGGGGTATGGGGAGGAATTTGTGTTAAGGTATTGACTACACCAAATCAAACCAGGATCACAAATACCTGAATAACCGGTTTGTTTGCAGAAGCCCAGGCTACCTATTGCAAGACATCTTATGCAGGTAAAAGGTAACAGTGCCCTATTTCTCACCTGTTCAAAAGCAAACAAGAGCCTTGAAGGCAGCCAGATCACCTCTTCCCCCATGCCACTTCAATATTAATTTTCTGGTAAATGAATTATCAGTTTCTAATTGAGTTGACAGGATGATAATGTCAACTTCACACTAGTGTCAATTTTAACATTTATATACTCTGTGCCCACACAGTAAAACCTACTGAAATTTCAAACAGGGAAAAGAAGTCCTTTGCTGAACTCAACAAGAATTACCAATGCTCTTTGTAAACTATAGAGTTTGAAAAGGTATTTCCAAAATAATAGGCTTCAAAATGTAACAGCAGCTGTCCACAATATGGTACAATCGCAGTCATTCAGACCAGATGCAGGTTTGTAACCTTAAACAGTGTTTTGCATCTGAGCTAACCACTCACCTTCTACTATCACTAAAATCTGATACAAATTATGTAGACAAGATAAGCATGCTTATTTCACCAGATTCACATTTGACAACTGAATATCAAATAATCACCATGATTAGAAATGAAAGCATTTTGTTGCATTGGTAATATTTTACAGACTCCCACTCTCCTCAGGCAATGAATAAGGCTGAGCCATTGTCACTAGTTTGAACTCAGATTTGTTAGATCAAATTAGCAGGGGGTTTGCACACTTCAGCTATAACAGATGTTCCTTACACTTGTGTATTGTGATAAAATTAACATCTTAAAACTAGCTAATTTGCAAACAGAAAAGCAACATAATTGCACTTTAACAGCTGAACAGTTTTACTTACTTCCTGAGACAAAAATGGGATGACTTGTGCACAAATTGTATTCAATCTCTTGGCGATTTCTGTCTACAGAGGAAAAGTATTTTGATTAAAACTGTGTTTTAGGTTTGTTGCCATATATCAACTAGTGTACAAGATTATATTAAGTTCACATGGTGAAGAAAGTAACAAAAAATCCACATTTTCATACTACTTCAAATACAAATAGCTAATATATAAGCCCAGATGAGGACAGAGATTTAGTTAGCTACTCTAGGACATCTGCCATGTCTAAAGCACCTAATCTGTATACACATTTAGGCACAAATCTGGTCCTTGTACATAGCTCATTAACAAGTAAAGCATTTTTGAAAGCCATTAAGTCCAAGATAAAGCCTTTTAAAAGGTAGATTTATTATTACTCAAACTATCAAACAGCATAACATGAAGGTGACAGGCATCGAAGAAAAATGTTTCTTTCATGATCAATTTTATCTGCCTATTAGAAGGTAAAATTAGTTTTGCTGACAGAAACACAGCATCCGGAGTACAAAAGAAATACCAAAACAGAAGTGAGGTAGAATGGAGACAAAAGGTACAGACTTCTCAAACATCCATATTGAGAGAGAATTAAAATAATGCAGACAAGAAAAAGAATCAGATCAGAAAATGCAATAGTCAATAACAACAAATTAGTGAAACCATGAGTGACAGGAGAACAATAAGGCTAGGAACCAGCAAAGAACAGAACAATCCTTCACTGAAAGCAGCAGAGAAGACAGCAGGACGAAGTGTTTCAGTCCCACTTTTCGACAGCTTTATGTATCTCCCACTTCTATATCTCCCACTTTTGGCATGTTAACTTGAACATAGGATTTGTGGTGGGGTACAGGGATCTTTTTCGCTCATTACTCGGTCCTACCTGTGCTTTCAGCTTTTCAGACCTATACCTCTGCCCACCATTCAGAATCACCATTATAATTAACCCTCAAGGTATTTGCACAACTTCTACAGTTTTCCTTAAAAACATCTCCTGCACTCACTGTAGCACAAAACCAAAATTAGTGTCCAGATGTGAACACAGCCTATATACAAGACACTCCGAACAGCTCTTGTCAGTCTCTACCATATCATTAATCCATACAGATATTTCTTGGGGTTTTTATTTTGTTTTAAGACACAAGAAACAAGAGATCCCTGCTGAGAATCATTAGGCCTTCCATGAAATGACACGCATAAATCTGAGCAAAGATAATCTCTTTCGAAGAAGTCAGACAAAAACATTGCTAACTCATCTGCCAAGCCTTTCCCTGACCCTTCCCATCATCCTGATTTTAGGAAGACACTGTGATGTGCTCATCCTCATGCATCAGTCAAGCAGTAATTAGGATACAAAAGCCACCCTCTGCTTTTAAGTCTCAGCCGACAGGTGATTTGGGATCTAAATACAACTAGCAAGCTTTAACACTTCTTTCCCCACCTCTGACAGACACAGGGAAAAGACGTGATAGCACTGAGACTTGTAAAACACCACATCTCTCTGACGTAAGCTGAAGTACTCCACCTGACTGAAGTCTGGCATTTGACACAGCCACTCCAAAATTTTGCGGAGACAAGAGTCTCCAAAGCAGTTCTGGGATGGTTTCTTCCTAGGACAAAAGGTTTCCCTTAAATAAGGGCAATGAAGTGAAAGTTGCTTTACAGCAAAGCTTTCTCCCCCTGCAACAAGGGGAACAGACCTCTATTCTCAACAGAAACAGCTACTATTTCACACAGTACTACAGCGGTTTCTGTTTTGTTTGGGCCACAACCATAAAATATCCATCGTTCTGTGTGTAGCCGCTAGTACTGGTACTACATACATACCAGCAACAAGGAAGTTACCAGCTTAACTATTATCAGTTATCAGACTTAACTATTATCAAATCTGTTGGTACTTTCAGTGCCTGTTAAAAAGTTAAAAAAAACTGACAGGACTGTGAGAATCTATGTAATAAAGGGCATTTTTCCACATACCTAGTATGTCTCTGCAGAAAGCAAGGTATGTCAGCTATGGAAAGAAAGTCCGTTACGTAGCAATCTGCTGGCTGATGTTTAGCTAAGATGTTTAGGATCCAAGAAGTTAATTCCCCTAGACCAATGGGATTACCTTTGTTTTCAGGACAGACGCCAGGATGAATCATAACAGGTGATAAGAGGAGAAAGAAAAAAGTAAAATAAGAAACTCATTTGGTTTCTACTGAGAAGTTCTTTGGCCTGTATGGCCTACACAAAAGTCTCCCTATTCTGTATTACTGAGATAAGTATCCTTACTGTAGCTGTAAGAAAAAAAAAAATCTATTTTCAGTAGATCTATAAAACATGCAAGTTGTCCACATTATTGGGTTTTCCTGCACAAGTCCCAAATATCTGAGCTCACAGTAATAACACAGCATACAGGACGGCACACAGCAAGACACGAGAATGCAGCATCATGCAATAATTACCAGTCCCAGTGCAGGTCAATTAGATTTTTTTTTTTTTTAATTTTTATTTCTTTTCTAAAAAAAGGGGGCACAATCAACTTTCCCCCTTTCCCAGTCAATCTTCCTTCAAAATTATTGTCCCAGTACTATCACACCTGACTTAGTATCAGAACTGAAAAAAATGTATCCTTTTGAGTTTGTCTTTACCAAAGTAGGGCATCATTGGTGATCATGTATGAACAGCATCCTTAATATTCATCCACAGTGCTAGGTAAAAACTTGAACATACATGCCATAAATAAGTTTATTTTGAGATTTCTTGCTGCTGTTACCAGTGCCAGTTAAGAGACATTTACACTGAAAGGAATCTTCATAACAAAAGCCTGCTTACCTTTAAAAGGCAGTTTGCCTACTAGCACTATTTCCCACACACAATTAAATAAAGCACTTATAATTATTTATCCACTATGAGATTTCATACATCTCCTGTTTGCTGCCCTCAAATGTTTAGTAAAAACTATTCTTATTCACAAACATGTTAAAAAAATATTTTTGCTCTCTAGTGAGTTGTCGAAGTTAGGTTTTAATGCACAATTCACCTGATCTTGCCCATCAGTAGTTGCAAGAGGTTGTTTTCAGAACTGAGAAAAAGGAACTTTCATTACTTTAAACATAAATCTAGCCGTTCAAAAGGTAATGTATGTTCACCTTTCAAGGTGAAATATCTTTGAGTATATATGCGTGCACATGTGTGTCTGTATATATATATTCATTCTTGAAAGCAAAAACCTTTTTTGAAGGAGTCTAAGAGAGCTTTGTTAATCAAGACTAGACATCAGTAATTGGTGGCATTAGAGTAAGCTATATATTCCAGATTTGGGGCTCATGCATTTGAAAGTCTTAAAAGAAAGGTACTTATCGGTTACTTCTCGCGGCCTCCCAATGTAACATAGCTATTATCTAACTGCTGATTTTGAGACGTGTAGGGCAGTTAGAAGAATGAGTAAACAAAGAAAATTTTGCAGAAAGCTGCTCAGAGCATAGACCAACATGACTAATTGCCCAAGTTCTTTGGCTCCTTCGCAAAGCAGACTGTAGAAGCCTTCATCTCTCATGAAAGCCCTCCTAGCTCTATGGCAGCTCTTAGCAAAGTATCTGAAGTGCCCTTAATTGTTTGTGTTGTTAATGCACAGCCTCTTGAATACATTCATTTTTAATAGAGGACTTGAGTGTGGGGCCCATCAAAGAATGACAAAACTACATCATTCACTGGTTCTTGCTGTTGCAATGATTGTCTTTTGATTTATTTGCAAATGACAAGCTTGTCAGACCCCTGACTGAAATGCTACCCTCCTTTCTGAAGTATCATTAAAAATTAACATGAAGGAATTCAGCTGCATTTTGTAAAATTAAGTTGAGCCAATGGATTTTTTTTTCTTCACTCCTGTAATTTTTTTGCCTCCGTTCCATCTAATTACGGACTTAAATGTTTTGACCTAACCATTGCCAAACTCAAGTGTTTGTACTTAAGTTTGTCTCTTGCTAAAGTGAATTCTCAACATAATGACAAAGAACAAAGCAGCCAGACTAGTTACTAAATACAATATTCATTTAAACAAGTTATTTTACTAAGCAGTTAAGAAAGAGCTTTTATATGCAATTGTAATCTTTTTCCTTCTGCATTGTTTAAAAACTTGAAGCGTTTTCCTCTACAGTAGTCTATTCCAAATCATTTTGCATTTTGACAGACTGTACTTTCCAAAGCACCATGTAAGATATCATACTTGAATCAACATGATTTCTTAAACAACTACAGATTTTTGCACTGGAATGAAAAGGAGGAAGTATAATACAAGTATCCAAACTCTAACTATTTCTCACCACACCTAACACCCATGTGTATTTTATCACTAATGCTGGAAGCCCTAGCCTACAGAAGCCACAACTCTCACTTCTGAGTGAAGAACGCAAACTTCCTCTGAGGAGAATTAGTTAATCACCGTTCAGTTTCAGAGGTTTCAACAATAATAATTTTGGCTTTGCTCCAATCAGTGTCTACCATATATGCCCCAATAGTGACTTTAGCTATAGCATGCATGGTGATCTAAAGCAAACATTAAATCTTACAATACGTTATTTTTAACAATCAGTTGTATTGCAACAACTGTTTTATTATTAGTGCTGAGACTCCTCAAAGCTGTCCAGACCTACCTTTACAAAACAATGCTCAGCTAAAAATGTCCATTGAATGTCAGAAGCTTGTACTCTTTCTTGCAAACTGCACTTCCTATATCACGAAGTTAGATCAGGATTTGAAAGCACTCTATCACCACTTCTTAAGCACAGGCTTGTGTATTCTCATTTATTACATTTTTATTTACCTTAGTTATTTCAACCCAATTTTGAGAATCACATTTGTCATTAGATGGGGAAGAATACAGCTTAGGAACAACATGATTAAAAGTAAAGCAAAAAACCCCAAAGTTCTGATGATACCAAAAAAAGCATGTCCTAATCCATTCCTTTCAAGTAAAAGAATCAAAGAATCAGCCTTTAATGCACAGAAAAGAATATACTGTCAAATCACATTCACAAAAGCTTGAGAAGATAATTCTTAAGTAC